GCCCAAGAAAATAATAATAATAATAATATAGAATTTGAAATGAATTTATAAATAATATATAGAATTTGAACAGCACAAAAATTACCACTAAAACACCCACCAATTTTCCATGCTTGCATGGTTAATATATTGTTTTATTTATTTCCAGTATTCCTAGTCACTGTCACTGTCCTCCCGTTGTTCTTCAATTTGCTCGAGCAGGCCCAGTAACGTCTCCATTGTGAGACTTGTTGATACTATATTTGGCATATAGAATACACCACCGGTAGCTGGTCAGGCTCTGCCATGCGGGCAGGATACTCTCGGTAGTTTGCCGGGCTCTTCGAGAGGGGGCGGAGGAATCAAACCCGGGTCGGCCGGGTAGGCTGCGTGCAAGGCAAGCCCTACCCACTGTGCTATGGCTCTAGCCCTTAAAAAAAAAAAAAAAAAAAACGGGCTTCTGGTTACGCAGACCAGTTCTGCACAAATGAGCTCTGAGTGCTCTATTCCTAAGTATACACAAATATATTTTCAGGTATAATTACGGTTTTCTAAAGACATACACTGAGAGCGCTAAAAAGATGGTCCAGTGGGGAAGGCCAACTGTACATACGGTCAACCCAAGTTCAATCCCCACCACCCCACAAAGGTTCCAGACTACTGCCAGGCATGATGCCTGAGCACAGAGCCAGGAGTAAGCCCTGAGGACTGCCTGGGGTGGGAAAAAAATAACAGACATACACTAAAGTTCCTTCTAATTCTGCATGAGGCTTCCATTTAAATGAGATTTATTTAGATGAGGTTTCTATCTAAATCTGCATGAGAGTTGAAAGTCTCCAAAACAGAGTCAATGCATTTGAGCGACACAGCTGCCTCCTAGAGTGAGAGCGAATGAATGAATGATCATTCAAGTTTCCTCTCTAATTATGAGCTGTTGATCCTGTGTCACAGTCTCACGTAACAACAAAAATAGAAACTGTAAAACGCATTTTACTACTGTGCTATAAATGTGCCTGGAAGTCCATTTTTATACTTCTTCTTTTTATATTTATACATGAAGGCACACCTGTGCGGGATTTTCAGTTTAAAAGCTGGAGTCCATGACGCTGCCGTTATGTCCTGCAAGCTTCCAAGACATTCTCTCTACAGCTTAACCTCAGAGAAGGGCCCGTGTGTGCGGCTGACCTCGGGGGCGTGTCGGAGGGACGTCTATGAACTCACAGCAATCAGCAAGCTGCAGTGACAGACACCTCCCAACTCAAACAGGCCCCACGTTCCTCTGCCTCGTACTGCAAGTTCCAGAACACAGCCCTCTCCAAAACAACTCGGTGCTGGCTATCAGAGTGCCTTCAATTCCCAACAAACACACATGCAGATGTCCAGTGGCTCTTTAAATATTTGGATCACATTATCATGTGCCTCTCGCAAAACAAAGCCAGAGACAGCAGGGGATATTGGCTGTTACTGGGAGGTTCTATGTGGAGGAAACTCAACCCGCCCTGCAAAGTCTGCAACAGGAAAAAATGAGGGGCAAAGAGGACTCGGGGCTGGCGGGAGGGAACCCCAGCTCCAGGCCCAGCACCCACAAGTGACCCCAAGCTGGGAGGAGCCCCTGAGCACAGCAGATATAACCTCCCCCGGAAAAACATAAAAGTTGGCTGCAAACATTCCGTGTTTCATCAATGAATGACCTTGCATTGAACAAACAGTTCGATAAAGGAAAAGATCATTAAAAGCTCTGATAAGCGTAGCATGAATAAATAAAGTAAAAGAAAAATAATGATAAATCAATTCAGCAAACATCTGAATATAAAAATGTTAAATAAAAAAATCAGGAAGGGTCATTCCATGGACCATGAACAATAAAATGAAGCAATTTTGCTCATACGAAGATGAAGGTAAAACCAGGGCCTGTTCTTTTTTTTTTTTTTTTCCTTTTTGGGTCACACCCAGCCATGCGACAAGGGTTCCTCCTGGCTCTGCACTCAGGAGTTACTCCTGGCAGTGCTCAGGGGACCATATGGGATGCTGGGAATCGAACCTGGGTCAGCTATCTCTCCAGTCCCCAGGGCCTGTTCTGCCCTGAGGCTCCATGTGTGCTCCGGGGTCTCCCACCAGGGGTAGCCACCAATCTGTCACCTGTGGGATTGGCAGAGACCTTGGAAGATCTGAAAAGAAACCAGCAGAAGGGCTGGAGCGATAGTACAGCAGGAAGGGCGTTCGCCTTGCACGCGGCCGACCCAGGTTCAATTCCCAGCATCCTATATGAATCCCCTGGGCACTGCCAGGAGTAATTCCTGAGGGCAGAGCCAGAACAACCCTTGAGCATCGCCCGGTGTGACCCAAAAAGCAAAAAAGAAAAGAAAAAAATTGATTACCTTATTGCACAAAAGCCTCAAAGCTAATTAACCAGACATTCCCCCAAACATCCTTGGGTACTAAATGTTAAAACAGACAACATCCTTACATAGCAAGTGTTGAAACAGACCAATGTGTAACTAAATATCTTTTACGACTCTAAATCACAGTGGGGCTCAGTTCTCAGCAACCATAACCCTCCTCAGCATCCGAAACTGCCAGTCAGGTAAGACGTCAGAAGTCAGATTTCCTGAACAACTGCTCAGCTCTGCCACTGCGTCGGGCAGAAGAGAGCGCAGCGCCTCCGTCCCTGCCTCACCCCAAACCTTCTGAAGGAGCCTCAGCGCCACGAGCATAGATGTGCCACGTGGCTCTTCTGAAGAGACGTCCTTAAGCAAAAATGGGGCCTTATTTCATTCATTTTTTTATAAAACTCTGGGCTGGGGGTGGGGGTCAGACTATTCTCCTTCCTTAGTCCCAGAAACACAAATAAATTAGAACAAGGTCATGTGAGTCATTCGCAGCAGCCCAGGACCACAGCCTCAACTCAAAACAAGGAAAGTCACGGCGCAGGCACTGTCCCACGCGGGAGTGTGAGAACAGTACAAGGAAGAACAGTGAGTGTGATTCCAGAGCCACAACGGGAACTTGCAACATGAACCATCTGTGGAAACTGTATCCTAAGCCCTCTTCTTCAATGGTGGGTGCAGCCCCCATGGGGCCAGAAACTGAACGTAGCAGTTGCGGAAAAACTTGGCAGCAAAGCTTTCTGAATACACAACACCCCAAAACTAAGTCACAGTCAAAGCTTTCCGAATACACAACACCCAAAACTGATTCAGTCCACGGTCTCTGAACACCCAACACCCCAAAACTAATTCAGTCCCAAGTTTCTGAACACGCAACATCCCAAAACTAATTCAGTCCAAGCCTTCTGAACGGGCTGGAGAGATAGCACAGCGGGTAGGGCATTTGCCTTGCATGCAGCCGACCCGAGTTCGATTCCTCTATCCCTCTCAGAGAGCCCGACAAGCTACTGAGAGTATCTCGCCCGCATGGCAAAGCCTGGCAAGCTACCCGTGACATATTCAATATGCCAAACACAGTAACAACAAGTCTCACAATATTACTGGGCCCACTCGAGCAAATCTATGAACAACAGGAGGACAGTGCTACAGTGCTTTCTGAACATGCAACACCCAGAACTAATTCAGTTCAAAGTATCTGAACACACAACACCCCAAAACTAATTCAGTCCCAGGTTTCTGAACACCCAACACCCCAAAACTAATTCAGTCCCAGGTTTCTGAACACGTAACACCCCAAAACTAATTCAGTTCCAGGTTTCTGAACACACAACACCCAAAACTAATTCAATCAAACCTTTCTAAACACACAACACCCAAAACTAATTCAGTCCAAGCTTTCTGAACATGCAACAGCCAAAACTAATTCAGTCCAAAGTTTCTGAACACGCAACACCCCCAAACTAATTCAGTCCCAGGTTTCTAAACGCGTAACACCCCTAAACTAATTCAGTTCAAGGTTTCTGAACACCCAACGTCCTAAAACTAAGTCACAGTCAAAGATGATGACTGTGAGGTGTTTCCAGAAGCGCTGGCTGGGTTGCTTCTCATCTCCCGGTCATCAGGTTCAGGGATGCAACACTGAGAAGCCGGGTGTAACCGACAAAGCAGTGGGTGTGACTCCTGCAGGAGCCGAGGCGAGCTGAACCTGGGTTCCTGAAACCCTTCCAAACCCCAGGCCGCGGGGTGCAGGGGTGAGAGCCAGCCCATCTCTCGGCACCAGGCTCCACGCAGGGCTCCAACCTGAACTCAGGGGCGTTAGGGGCCGCCCTGATTCCCCCCGGACACCGTGTCCGGGAGAATCACCCCGCGCACACCCGACGGAAGCCCGCCTTCCGCAGCGCCGGCCTGAAGGGTGCCCGTGCAAGCGCGCAGCGGCTCCCGCGTGCAGCCCACACTCGGGGGTCCACCTGGCCGGGAGACCCTGCGCCGCCCGCTCCTCCCCGGCCCGGCGCGACTCACCCCGCAGGGCCACGCGCGTGCCCGGCCCCCACCCAGCCCCGCCGGGCAGGGCGCCCCGGAACGTGCCCGCGGTCCCCGCTCCGTGCCCTGGCCGGCCCGGGCACTCGGTCCCCGGGGCAGGTTTACGTAACTTGCACCCGGCCCCGGCGCTCCCGAGTGGACGGGCTGGCCGGGCCCCTCCTGCTCTGCGGCCAAGGAGGGCAAAGGGGCGGCCGAGCGCGGAGTGGCCGGGGCCGGGCACTGCCCTGGGCCGCGCGGGCCGGGGAGGCGCGTCCACCCTGCTCGCACCGGCTGGGCAGGGGCCGGGCACCGAGAGCGGGGCCGGGGAGCCGCCTTCCTCGCCCCGGGCCCCGCGAGGGGGCTCGGGGCCGTGGCCCCAGCAGCCCGGGGCGGCCCCACGCCCCCCACGCCCCCCACCACCCCCAGCCGACCCTCCCCGGCGGGCCCGGGCGCGCGCGCGCGGGGGCCGGAGCGCGGGCGGGAGGCGCGTGTGCGCGGGGGTCCCCGCGCCCCCGGCCCGCTTACCCCAGCGTGCTGATGAAGCCGCTCACGGCGCCCTCGGCGTACAGGGACACGATGTCCCCGATGTACAGGAAGCTGGACATCTTCTCGGACATGCTGCCGCCGGGCGCCCGCGGGCCGAGCGCGCCGGACGCCGCCCGGGCAGGTTTCCTCTTCCTCGGCCGCGCTCGCCGACACCCCGCCCCGGGCCGCAGTGCCTCCCGCCCGCCGCCGCGCGCCCCGCCAGCAGGGGGCGCCCCGCCACAACCCCCGCGGCCCCCCCGCCCCCCCCGGGAACGCGGCCCAGACGGCGGCGCCCATTGGGCCCCGGGGCGCGGGCGCGGGCGCCGCAGCCAATCAGCGCGCGGCAGCCGGGGGCGGGGGCCCGGTGGTGGGCGGGGTCTGTGAGGGGGCGGGGCCTGAGGGGGCGTGTTCGAAGAGCGGGGCTGGAGGTGGGCGGGGACTCGAGGGAGGGCTGTGGGGGCGTGGCCTGGCGCCGGCGGTGGGCGGGGTCTGGGGGCGGGGCGCGGGCGGCGCTGCAGGCCCTGCCCCGGGCACCGTCCGCGCGCGGGCGGAGGAAGCGGCGCCCAGGGGAAGTGGCCGCGGCGGCCGAGGAGGAGGGGCCGGGCTCGGGACCCGCGGACCCGGACCCCCGGGAGGTGCTGAAACCAAAGGAAAGCAACTAAGGGGGGTACCCGGAGGAGGAGGGGGGGCGGGGGCGGGAAAGCGGGAAAGGGCCCCGCTGAAGCCCTAGCAAGTAACTGTTGCAAGACCAAATCCAGAAATGTGTTACAAAGTAGCTGTCACCGAGGCAGGCAGGTGCGGGAGGGACGCTGGGGACGCGGATGGGGAAAGGGCCGGTGTGGGGACGCTGAATGCCTGAAAGCCGATCGTTAATTACTTTGTCATCCATGCTATGGACATTTTATTGATTTATTAGAAATAAATAGGGGCTGGAGCGACTTATTTATATTTATATTATATTTATATTATATCCCTAGGAATAAATAGGGGCTGGAGCGATAGCACAAGGGGGAGGGCGTTTGCCTTGCACGTGGTTCGATTCCCGGCATCCCATAGGGTCCCCCAAGCACCACCAGGAGTCATTCCTGAGTGCAGAGCCAGGAGGAACCCCTGAGCATCGCTGGGTGTGACCCCCAAAAAAGAAAAAAATAAACGCTGGAGATGGAGCACTGTGGAGAGGCCAGCACGGCATGGGAGGGAATGAGCACCGCACTGGGAGTAGCCCCTTGAGCCCCTCAGGATGTGACCCCAAACACACAGGGAAAAGCTGGTGGTGGAGACAATCTTGATGGGAGAAATGGCGGCTCCCTCTTTTACTGCCATCGTGAGGCACATGTGGGTCACACAGCCCCGGGTCATCGCACGGTGCACAGACGCGCACAGAGACGCAGAGCCATCACAGCCCAGCAACTTCCAAGCAAAGCCCAGCAGGACCTCCCTTCTCCCTCACATTCTGCTGTGCCCGTGAACAGCACCAAAGTCACCCCTACCTGTCAACAAAAACAAGCCCTTCGACCCTAAGCATTGCGCCAAGGGTGGGGGCAACCCAGGGACCCTCTGGTCAGTGGCAGAGGGATATGGGCACTTGAGCGGTGGTACAGCATGCCAATGTCAAAGCCCAAAGACATCAGCATTCCCCTCCTGTGACCTGAGGTTACCTCACTCTCACTGTCACTGTCATCCCGTTGTTTATCTATTTACTCGAGCAGGCGCCAGTAACATCTCCATTCGCCCCAGCCCTGAGATTTTAGCAGCCTCTCCTTACTCGTCTTTCCCAAAGCTGCCGTATTGGAGGCTCTTTCGGGGTCAGGGGAATGAGACCCGTTATTGTCACTGTTTTTGGCATATCGAATATGCCACGGCTAGCTTGCCAGGTCCTGCCATAGTAGTTACCTAAATAAAAAATAAAATGTTAGGAGACTGGAGACACAGTACAGCAGGCTGCTTTGCCTCATACGTGGCCGACCTGGCACCCCATATGGTCCCCCCAACCACACCAGGGCTGATCCCTGAGCACAGAGGCAGGAGTAAGCCCTGAGCATGGCAGGTGAGGCCCAAAAACAAGAAAGAAAGAAAGAAAGAAAGAAAGAAAGAAAGAAAGAAAGAGGAGGGCAGGGGAGGGGAGGAGGGAAGGAGGAAGGAAGGAAGGAAGGAAGGAAGGAAGGAAGGAAGGAAGGAAGGGGAGGGAGGAAGGGAGGGAGGGAGGGAGGGAGGGAGAAAAGAAGAGGAAGGGAGGGAGGGTGGGAGGGAGGGAGGGAAGAAAAAAGAAAGAGAGAAAGGAGGGAGGGATGAAGGAAGGAAGGAAGGAAGGAAGGAAGGAAGGGGAAGGAAAGGAAGGAAGGAAAGGAAGGAAGGAAGGAAGGAAAAGGAAGGAAAGGAAGGAAGGAAGGAAGGAGAGGGAGGAAGGGAGGGAGGGAGGGAGAAAAGAAGAGGAAGGGAGGGAGGGAGGGAGGGAAGAAAAAAGAAAGAGAGAAAGGAGGGAGGGATGAAGGAAGGAAGGAAGGAAGGAAGGAAGGGGAAGGAAAGGAAGGAAGGAAGGAAGGAAGGAAGGAAGGAAGGAAGGAAGGAAAAGGAAGGGAAGGAAGGAAGGAAGGAAGGAAGGAAGGAAGGAAGGGGAGGGAGGAAGGGAGGGAGGGAGGGAGAAAAGAAGAGGAAGGGAGGGAGGGTGGGAGGGAGGGAGGGAGGGAGGGAGGGAATAAAAAAGAAAGAGAGAAAGGAGGGAGGGATGAAGGAAGGAAGGAAGGAAGGAAGGAAGGAAGGAAGGAAGGAAGGGGAGGGAGGAAGGGAGGGAGGGAGGAAGGGAGGGAGGGAGGGAGAAAAGAAGAGGAAGGGAGGGAGGGAGGGAGGGAGGAAGGAAGGAAGGGAGGGAGGGAGGGAGGGAGGGAGGGAGGGAGGGAGGGAAGGAGGGAAGGATGTGTCTGTGTCTCTGTGTCTGTGTCTGTGTCCGTCTCTCTCTCCCCCTCTCCCTCTCCTCTCTCTGTCTCTGTGTCTGTGTCTGTGTCTCTGTCTGTCTGTCTGTCTGTCTGTCTGTCTGTCTCTCTCTCTCTCTCTCTCTCTCCCCCCCCCCCCCCATCCTCTTTCTCCTTTTGGGCATTGTGGTTTGCAATACAGATACTGAAAGGTTATCATGTATATCCCTTGACCTACTTTGAACATTCAGTTCTTGTTCCATCGACTTTTTATGTCTTGTTTTGTTTTGGGGCCACACCTGAAGGTATGTGGCTTGGGGGCTCCTCCCAGCTCTGGACTTGGGGGTCACTCCTGTTGATGCTCAGAGGACCATGTGGTGGCAGGGAGCGACCCCACCCAAAGCCTGCACTCTCTCCAGCCCCAGTTTCCAGGATGGCTAAGGCGGCTCTCCCTCCATTGTGCAGGAGGATTCTGCATCTCTCCTGCTGTGGTGGGTTTGCACCTGGAGCAGAGTCCCCCACCAGACTGTGGCATGGCAACTGCTTCACACACAGTTTCATGGTCCAGGAAAGATGGTCACTGGCCCCAGGAGACACTTCCAGTGTGGGTTTGTGTGTCACTGTTTGGGCCAGAGATGGCACAAGGCAACTGCCTAACCATGTGTGTTTTAGTCACTCCCAAACAACATGCAGTTTTAAAATTCCCTCTCATTTTTTTGGTCTCAGTTACTAGCATTTCCCTTCAACTTACTAAGTAGCTATTTATTCACATATTTCCTATTGTCACGCCTATTCTTGGTCCAAAGCCGGGAATGGGTGGGGGGAGAGAACTCTACTGTCCCCATCCAAAACACAGCCTTAAAATTAAAGTGGGCTCATTTCCCAGTTTATTTCTTTTCTTTTTGCTTTTTGGTCACACCCAGCGATGCTCAGGGGTTACTCCTGGCTCTGTACTCAGGAATTACTCCTGGCGGTGCTCGGGGGACCCTATGGGATGCTGGGAATCGAACCCAGGACGGCCGCGTGCAAGGCAAACGTCCTACCTGCTGTGCTTTCGCTCCAGCCCCTCCTGTTTATTTCTGAAACCACTTTTGTCCCAGCCCCGTTAGCCTTTCTGAGCACGAGATGGGCACAGGTTGCCCCACTGGCAAACCCGCTCCAGTTTCTTCCTACCAAACTGATGCTTGCTCTTACCAACAACACTTCCATCCGGGACTAGTCAACGTGTTCCCAATGCGACATGTCTTTGGAAACACAAAACAAAGTATATTGTCCTCCCCTGACAGTGCTCTGGTAGAGCAAGTGGACCGGGACGTTGTTCAGGGGGAGCTGAATGCAGGAAACTGGACCAAGCAGTGAAGGGTGATGGAGCCGCCCTCCGCACTCGGACCTGAACAAACACCAGTCTGACTCTGAGGTCAAGGAACACCAGGGGTGACTTAAGGAAAACTGTGGCCAACAGTTGGCGAATTAGACAGCCCACCTACTCCTGGCTGAAGATGAAGTCCTAAAACTGCAGTTAGGGTAGAAATCACAGCATTAGGACACCAATTCCCTTTGAAACTAGGTTCCGTGAAGTGGCGGGAGAAAAGTCTCTCCAAGAGAGACAGAGAAAGAGAGAGACAAACAGGGACAGAGAGAAGTGTCTGCCGTAGAGACAGGCTGAGAGGGGGGTTGAAGGGAACATTGTATGACTGAAACCCAACCATGAACAACTTTGTAACTGTGTTTCTCATGATGATTGTGTATGTATCATAAGCTTCTCCTTTAGATAGTGCTGTTAGATAGTTAGCCACATGCCAAAAAAAAAAAAATCCGAATATCTCTCTTACACAAAACATAAAATTAACTCAAAATGGATGAAAGGCTTCAAATGCATAAAACACACAAAGGAAAACGTAGGCAGATCTCTGCACGAAACTGTCTTCAGAGACCTCTGCAAGGACATCATGCCCCTGGCAAGGAAAACAGACTTCAAACTAAAGTGGGACTCTACCGAAGGAAACAGCAAACCAAAAACTTTCCTTATTGCAAAGGCAATTAGGGCTAAGACTCAAAGACACCCCACTGAGTGGGAGAAAATATTTGCTCATTACACAGCTGACAAAAGGCTAATATTTAAGATCATAAAAGCACACACAAAACTCAATAGCAGAAAAACAAACCATCCCATAGGGAGAAGGAAATGAATAGATGTTTTTCTTCAGAAGACAGACAGATGGCTGACAAGCATATGGAAAATAGTGTTCTCATTGCTGATCAGAGAAATGCAAATCAAAACGACAATGAGGCATCACCTCCCACCAGCCACGAGGATGGTCTGGTCAGAGAGGCTGAAAACACCAAATGTTGGTGAAGGCATGGAGAAAAGGGACTCTAGTCAGTGTTGGAGGGAATGGGAAATGGATGAGTTTCCTTGAAAAATGAAAACTGGGGGCTGGAGCAGTAGCACAGCGGGTAGGGCGTTTGCCTTGCACGCGGCCAACCAGGGTTCGATTCCCAGCATCCCATAGGGTCCCCTGAGCACCGCCAGGGGTAATTCCTGAGCACAGAGCCAGGAGGAACCCCTGTGCATCGCCAGATCTGACCCAAAAAGCAAATAAATAAATAAATAAATGAAAACTGGCGAGTGGAGTGATAATAAGGCAGGCAGGGCTTGCCTTCCACATGGTCAACCTGGGAAAGATCCCCAGCATCCCATATGGCCCCTGAGCCCTGCCAGGAGTAATTCCTGTGGATAGAGCCAGGAATAA